AGGACCCAGGCAGCCGGCGCGGGCGCCTCCGCACGTCCGCAGGCTCCACTGGGAGGTGGCGGCCGCTGAAAGGCTGGATCGCCTGAGGGCGGGCCGGGGAGGCGGCCGGGAGGTGGGGCGCTGGAGGGGGCCGGCCGGCGCGGCTTCATTTGTGGACGCACGGCCTGCGCCCCAGTGCTGGGTTCTCCGTGGTGCGCGGCGACAAGCGGCTGGAGTGGCTATGGGTAGCCGCTGGGGCTTCCTGATCCGCTTCTTGGGCGCAGTGTGGCTGCTTGGCTTGGGCCACTGCGAGCAGCAGACCCCAGAGACAGCGGCGCAGAGGTGCTTCTGCCAGGTGAGGGGTGTGCGAGGCCGTGCTGCCCATCTCGGTGCTCCCAGTCTTCTGCCTGCGCTCTTTCCCGTGCGCCCAGGCAGATGAGGGGCTGGGCGTACATCCCTGCATCTTAATCCTCCCAGAACGAGCCTCTTGTGCTTCTGCTTCCTGGCTGGGCTGAGTCCTCTGCAGCTCGCCCGGGTCGGTGTGGACGGGTCTCCCACCGGAGCCTGGACCTCGAAGTGCCCTCCCGCGCTTCAGATCAGGCGTGGGTAGAGAGGTGTGGGTGCACTCTGTGTATTTTTACCGAATTGATTTATGCATCTTTGTTGGTCTTCCCCACCCGGAGAGGGTGTGCGCAGTGTGCATACACACTCGATATCTCAATATTTGTTATTTCTGCAGAACTTGGGTCTTTCTAACTTCTAACTTGACCTGGAACTGTGTATGCTGTGCCTGTACTGGATGTCTTCGCCAGTCTTTCTGGCCAGGACAGTTTTTTGTGGGGACGGGGGTGAGGTGGGATGAGGGATCTGCTCTCAGATCTCCTTGTCAGACAGGAGAATCGCTTCGTGTGCCTTTTCAGTGTCTAAGCCCAGTGCCTGGTATCTTTGGGGTGGCGGTTACCTTGTGTGGCCTTTCTTTTTCCTTCCTGTAATGAGATTCTCAAACTGTGACAACCACATAACTGGTTTGAATTGGGAGGATGGTCCTTACTCCTCAGTGCACAAATTTGATTACAAGCATATTATGATCATTTCCTTCTGTTAGCAAAAGATGAGCAAAAAATTTAAAAAAAAAATCCAGGTTTCTGGATCTACAATGCTTGTATTGCTCTTAAAGTCATCTTTTGGTTGGCTTCTGTTGATAAAAATTACTTATACAAAATTGGGGGTGGATTTTAAGTGGATTGACCATTTATTATCAGAAATAACATTTTACGTGTGTAGGGGCAATGATACTATTTCACAGAGGACAGAAACAATTTAAATATCAGGAGAGGAAGAGATATCTTTTTCACTGCTTTATATTCTTGAATTTTGTTGTTTTGCTGAGTAATTCGGCAGTTTTGTTATTTGGAAACATTTAAGAGAAGTTGAAAGGAAGTTGATGCTTTACAACTAAGATTGAAAAGCTCTTTTACCTTCAGTGATTGTAAGTGGCACACAGAAAAGCGTCATTTTTTTTCTGATTACAATATAATGTAACACAAAGTTTAAACATTTAAAGAGTTTAAACATTTAATAAGTAAAATATTAATAAATGCCTTTAAAATAAGGTATTTAGGACTTCAGGTCAAGATAGTGGAGTAGGTAAATGCTGTGCTTTCCTTTCATGATCACATCAAAATTACAACTAGATTATAGAACACCACCCTTGAGAACCACCTGAAAACTAACTGAACAGAACCCTTATAACTAAAGATATAAAGAAGCCACGTTGAGACTGGTCTGAGGGTTGGAGATGTGAACCGGACTGGTCACATACCCATATGTGGCGGTTAAGAACTGGAAATGATATCTTGGAAGGAATTAAGAAGTACAAATTGGCAGTTAAAAATAGTAATGGGGATGTAAAGTATAGCACAGGGAATATAGTCAATAATATTATAATAAGTATGTATGGTGTCAGGAGGATATTAGACTTATTGGGGGGATCACTTTGTAAGTTATCTAAATATCTAACCACTATGCTGTACACCTGAAACTAATATAATGTTGGATGTCAGCTATAATTGAAAAATTTTTTTAAATGAAAAAGTCTTCCCCCCCTAAAAAAAATAAGGTATTTAGTATTGAAAGATGTCCAATATGGACATTTTCAACTGCATTCTAGAGGTTGGATAATGGAATAAAAGTACATGTCAAGCTTTTCACTTTTTGCCCTCAATAACCTTTTCAGATATCTGACTAGAATTGGAGAGCTATTAAATTTTTACATTTATTTTCTTTTTCTTCTGATTTATGTTTAAACTTTTTTCCCCCTTTCATAATATTTTCAAGATTTAAATACTGCCCCAACACAAAAATTTGTTAGATCCCTTTCTTTTCCTTATAGAACAAGAGTGGCTATCTGTTTTTCTTTTCAGGGTCAACTTTAAAAAATAATAAATTGAGGGTCACATACTAAAAAACAATTTTAAGAGAAATTTAAAATAGTCTACTTAAATAAACTTAAGAACAGAGACCATCATTTCAATTCAATAAGTGAAACAAAATACTTTAGTTCTGTTATGGTCAATAATGGAAGGGATAGGAGTAAGGGGAAAAGAGGGGAGAGGGGACAATGATTAAGAGACACGAAGAGAAAAATGGAGACAAGTATATAGACATGCACACAAAAACAGAACAAAAGAGATAAAGAAAAGAGATGGAGAAAGAAAAGATAAGGAGAGATGAATGGTGGAAAAGATATATTCAACAAACATTTATAAATAATAATCTGAGTATTTCGGGAGAGGCAAGGATCCTCAGCATTTAGAAAAACAAGTTAGTAAATTATGTTAGAAACTAAATTAAAAACTATATTTTCACCTTATGTTTGGAAATACAAGTTAAAATCTTCTCTGGTTCTATTTGCTGTATCCAATTAGCGGCAAAGTGCTATTGATTCTGTTTTGTTAATACCTCGTCATGTACCTTTCCTCCCTTCCTATTGCCAGTCCCTTTTACCACTTCTTTGAGTTACTACATCATCACCTCTCACCACACTGTTGCATGGCTTGTAGTAGGAGTTCAGTTAATAGAATATCAGCTCTCAAGTGAGCCACAGCAGGATGTAGTTAGTTATTCGATCTTAGAAAGTCATTAAAGTAAAATGTAGAAAGGTCTACAAATAATCAGATTAAATTCAATAAGCATTTATTGAGGCCTACTGTGAATGAGTTTTGAGAGATCAAAAAATGAATTAAAAAATTAAAAATTTAGTCCTAATTCTCGACACTCCAGAGTTCTGAGCCTGGTGTATAATTGGTGCTCAGCAGGTATTAGGGAAATAACAATATAAGATGTGAACACTGCTAGCAGGAGTATATTCTTCTAATTTTTCTGTTTAGCAAGCCATTTGCATGTTTTTCTGGAACTGATCTTTCAGTTAGGTTGACGACTCCAAATGAATCTTTAAACTTAGTGACTATATATACTTGTTAGTTCAAATCAAATCCCACTAAAACCATTGCACTGTATGTTAAGTATTTTTTGATAACAGTGCTTTAGTGTTAGTTGCTGGAAAAAATGTGATCAATTGCTTCAGACTTGTAAATCTTCCTTATATACAACCTCCATTTTTTTTTTTTGAAATCATTCTATTAAATATTTTTTTACATAGAAAATTGGACATTTTTTTTTCCTTTTGGTGTACAAGTCTATGTAAAGTTTGTGTAAACAACCCATAATCAGGATCTATTTTCTTTAAACCAAACTAACATTTGTAGTATTTGTTGTAATAGATGTGGGCTTGAAGTAAATGAAGACTTTTCAGAGTTTCTTATTTCTTTTTGACAATTATTGCCCCCATTATGCATGATTAGAGAGACTGAATGTAACAGAAATTTAGTTCCAGCTCATGGAATCCCAGGATTCATTTTAAAGAAATAACCTCAGAAGAAATATTGAAGCCCAGATGTGGAGGTAATTTGGACGTCTTTTTCATTTAAATTATTTAGAAACGAATTTGATAAAACATTTTAACTACATAGTTTACAATCTTAATATGGCTAGTGCTAATAATACTCAGGTCCACTTAGTTGAGTGCAGTAAATCTCTATCAGGCTAATAAAAGGAGAGCAGTTCAGATAATCCAAAATGGCTACTTTGAAAACGGTTTATTTTCCATTTGGAGTGCATTGTAGATACACTCCACATACGTGTACCTTAGCAGATTTTCCTGTCAGGTGTCCTGTTTAGGTCAATTAAAAAAATTTTTTATTTGTTAGTCAAGAGTGGCCAGGCCATGAAAAAGACACTTGATAATATGTTTGGTGGTGGGTGGATATAAGCCCAGGATTAAAACTTAAGTCAGCGGGATTTTTGAAACAGGTTGTACTAGAGAGATGTCCATTGACTCTCAGTGCTTGCTACATTCCAGGATTTTCTGAACAAAGCATGTGGAACAAAAAACATACTTCACATTGGTTGTTCTACTTTGAGTCACTTAACAGCAATTTAAAGTTCTATCAAAACCAAAACTTAAAGCAGAAATAGCTTTTAGCATTCATTCCATATCCTTAGAATGGTGCCAACTACCCAGTATGAAATCTTTGTTTTCATGCTTTTATTATTGAATGAATACTTTTCATGTTCTTTTTTATGGTCACAAAACACAATAAAATTAAAAACAGCTAAAGTTCTTTGCCAAATAAAGCACACTTTGAGCACTTTTATGCAAAAAAAAAGAGATATTTCATGTTTCATATGAGTATGAGGAATATATTCTTACAGTGGTTTGAGATAGAAATGATAATCTGTGGAAGGAGTTAGAAGTTCTTAGTATACAAGGAAACTATTTAGAAAGTGTTTTTTGTTTTGTCTTTCATTGAAAACTAGAGAATACCTCTTACCAGAGAATAGTGAACAAGCAGGCCAGTGTTATTTTCTTTTCTCTTGCTTTTTGTATAGTATTTTGGTATTTGGTCCAAACTCATCAATCAATGGAGAAAGTGATTGAGGCTTCTTCGGCAGCTAACTTTTGGTTATCTAGTTCTATGTTCCATTGGGGCTACAGATGCAAGATTTTTGGAAAATTTTAACTGCAAACTTGGCCTATTTTTTTTTTATATGTATATATTCATTAAAAAAATGTAGTTTGCTTTGGGGAATAGTAAGATCCCTTTCACTGAAAGCATATAAGTGGTAAGGTAATAATCATCAACACTTACTGGTATTTTTAAATTTTGTATGCACATTGGAAACTGAGGCCTAGAGAGGTTAAAAAATGTGAATAAGATCAATAACTAATATGTAGTAGGGATGGGATTCAACCCTAGAAGGCCTGACTCTGGATTCTGCATGCTAACCATTGTTATGCACTGCCTCCTCCTTGAGAGTTTATTGGAGGAGGTGGTTGTGTTGCTTGGGAGGTTGCATTAGAAGGCCTTCAAAGCCTTTCCAGCTCTTAAGAAACTAGGACATTAAACTGGGTGATGCTATGTCAGGCCCACGTTGGTCCTTGTATCTACCATCCCTCAACAAGGGCCTTTTAATCGCCTCCTGTTAGTTTGGGCCCCTACCCACAGCTGAGTATCACCTGAAGCCTAGAGCAGTGAGCTTCAAATTTTAGCATGCATCAGTCACTTTGTGTGTATGAAAAGGGGGATACATTTTTTTTAAATTCAGATTTCTATGGTATGGCCAGAATTCTGTTTCACTTCAAGAGATAGGCGTAGTAGTTATTTAAGCAGCCTTAGTACATTCTTAAGTGCAGCATCAAGTCACCTTCTTTACAAATTCGCACCTTTTGTTCTTAGCTTAGGTAATAGGATTTTGCTTTGTTCCCAAGATTCTGCTCTGGGTCTGTTAACTGGATATCTACCTTGGTCTTTTCCTGAGACTCTATTCTGGTAACGTACTTGGTTCTCAAGTTTCTAAAACTGGACCTGGCATCATACCTGTCAAACTTCCTACCAGGGACCAGGTTCTGCTGCCTATTGGCAGCCTTTCCAAATGGTCAGATGGCTTGGATTCCCAAATATCTTCCTGTCTCTCCTTTGATGGGCTCTCTCCATCTACTGAAACTCTGGCCAACCCCCATTCTACCTCCTTAGCTGTCCTGCTACCTGCTGAGTAGTTGGGAATACTTCCTACTCAATTTCTAAGAAAAAAGGCAGGAGATTGTCAATTTACCATGGTCCTGCCTTTTCTCCCTCTGAGGTCTCTAGTTTTTAAGCCACCTCTGCTCTGGACGCATCTTGCATTCTTTTCTGCTTTGGGGCTTCTTATAGCTTCCTTTATAATTAAGATGTGGATCCACAGAATGTTGAGTGCAATAGGTAGGTTGTTTACCTTTGCTACCTGCTTTCCTTGCTCTGTGAG